GGGGGGGGGGGGCAATTCGTACTTCTGCGACTGTACGCATACACGGCTGTCCACAAATTTGAGAAAAATGTGAGGGAACAACTGTAATGGAAACGCTAAATATCAAAACGCCACCTATGAATGGCCGATATTGGGCTGCACACAGACAGTATGCAACCAAATTTGGGCGTTAGCGTGTATATGGGAAGCCTAAAATCGTCCATATTGGTGAAAACGAGCGCCGCCATCGGTAATTAGCGGTCCTAAAACGACTACATCTGAGCACAGTCCTGGCAGTCGGTCAAACAGTGTAGGTAGAGTAGAAATTGCATTCGTTTTATTCGCAGTCGATATGAATTAAGGATGGCGCCGTGTGGCCCACTATACAAAATACCCAAAAAAATCCCGAAGAAAAAAAATCGGTAAAAGAGATACGATCAATTAGCCCCTCATGTATAGATATTCCAAATTTTTATTTTTTTCCTCATTGAAGTCGTTTTGAAGTATATTGCGAGCTAATAAAAAACATTTGCTAGTTAGTTTTTTTTTTAAATAAATTTTTGAAAAATCACCCCTGAAAAAAAAAAGGCGTTATCCTCCTTATTTCATTATTTGCAAAAAATTTTATCACCAATCGGTAGCAAATTATTTGAAGATTATTGCGAGTTAGGAAAAAATCATCAACTGAAAACCAGAGTTGATGACCAGAGTTTGTAGCAGCGATGTCAGACAAGATATGAATGTATTTTTGGGCTCAAACGAAAGAGCGGGTCGAGAAATGACGTGCTAGAGCCTCTAAACATGACAAATGTCTCTAAAGATGATATCTGTTTTCAATTGAAAAGCGCAATTGTGACAACATTTTCGAGTGGGTTCTAGGAGTCTCCCCTGGTCCAACACCATCTTTAGAGGTCCTAGCACGCCATTTCTCGACCCGCTCTTTCGTTTGAGCTCAAATGAAAGAGCGGGTCGAGAAATGACGTGCTAGAGCCTCTAAACATGACAAATGTCTCTAAAGATGATATCTGTTTTCAATTGAAAAGCGCAATTGTGACAACATTTTCGAGTGGGTTCTAGGAGTCTCCCCTGGTCCAACACCATCTTTAGAGGTCCTAGCACGCCATTTCTCGACCCGCTCTTTCGTTTGAGCTCAAATGAAAGAGCGGGTCGAGAAATGACGTGCTAGAGCCTCTAAACATGACAAATGTCTCTAAAGATGATATCTGTTTTCAATTGAAAAGCGCAATTGTGACAACATTTTCGAGTGGGTTCTAGGAGTCTCCCCTGGTCCAACACCATCTTTAGAGGTCCTAGCACGCCATTTCTCGACCCGCTCTTTCGTTTGAGCTCAAATGAAAGAGCGGGTCGAGAAATGACGTGCTAGAGCCTCTAAACATGACAAATGTCTCTAAAGATGATATCTGTTTTCAATTGAAAAGCGCAATTGTGACAACATTTTCGAGTGGGTTCTAGGAGTCTCCCCTGGTCCAACACCATCTTTAGAGGTCCTAGCACGCCATTTCTCGACCCGCTCTTTCGTTTGAGCTCAAATGAAAGAGCGGGTCGAGAAATGACGTGCTAGAGCCTCTAAACATGACAAATGTCTCTAAAGATGATATCTGTTTTCAATTGAAAAGCGCAATTGTGACAACATTTTCGAGTGGGTTCTAGGAGTCTCCCCTGGTCCAACACCATCTTTAGAGGTCCTAGCACGCCATTTCTCGACCCGCTCTTTCGTTTGAGCTCAAATGAAAGAGCGGGTCGAGAAATGACGTGCTAGAGCCTCTAAACATGACAAATGTCTCTAAAGATGATATCTGTTTTCAATTGAAAAGCGCAATTGTGACAACATTTTCGAGTGGGTTCTAGGAGTCTCCCCTGGTCCAACACCATCTTTAGAGGTCCTAGCACGCCATTTCTCGACCCGCTCTTTCGTTTGAGCTCAAATGAAAGAGCGGGTCGAGAAATGACGTGCTAGAGCCTCTAAACATGACAAATGTCTCTAAAGATGATATCTGTTTTCAATTGAAAAGCGCAATTGTGACAACATTTTCGAGTGGGTTCTAGGAGTCTCCCCTGGTCCAACACCATCTTTAGAGGTCCTAGCACGCCATTTCTCGACCCGCTCTTTCGTTTGAGCTCAAATGAAAGAGCGGGTCGAGAAATGACGTGCTAGAGCCTCTAAACATGACAAATGTCTCTAAAGATGATATCTGTTTTCAATTGAAAAGCGCAATTGTGACAACATTTTCGAGTGGGTTCTAGGAGTCTCCCCTGGTCCAACACCATCTTTAGAGGTCCTAGCACGCCATTTCTCGACCCGCTCTTTCGTTTGAGCTCAAATGAAAGAGCGGGTCGAGAAATGACGTGCTAGAGCCTCTAAACATGACAAATGTCTCTAAAGATGATATCTGTTTTCAATTGAAAAGCGCAATTGTGACAACATTTTCGAGTGGGTTCTAGGAGTCTCCCCTGGTCCAACACCATCTTTAGAGGTCCTAGCACGCCATTTCTCGACCCGCTCTTTCGTTTGAGCTCAAATGAAAGAGCGGGTCGAGAAATGACGTGCTAGAGCCTCTAAACATGACAAATGTCTCTAAAGATGATATCTGTTTTCAATTGAAAAGCGCAATTGTGACAACATTTTCGAGTGGGTTCTAGGAGTCTCCCCTGGTCCAACACCATCTTTAGAGGTCCTAGCACGCCATTTCTCGACCCGCTCTTTCGTTTGAGCTCAAATGAAAGAGCGGGTCGAGAAATGACGTGCTAGAGCCTCTAAACATGACAAATGTCTCTAAAGATGATATCTGTTTTCAATTGAAAAGCGCAATTGTGACAACATTTTCGAGTGGGTTCTAGGAGTCTCCCCTGGTCCAACACCATCTTTAGAGGTCCTAGCACGCCATTTCTCGACCCGCTCTTTCGTTTGAGCTCAAATGAAAGAGCGGGTCGAGAAATGACGTGCTAGAGCCTCTAAACATGACAAATGTCTCTAAAGATGATATCTGTTTTCAATTGAAAAGCGCAATTGTGACAACATTTTCGAGTGGGTTCTAGGAGTCTCCCCTGGTCCAACACCATCTTTAGAGGTCCTAGCACGCCATTTCTCGACCCGCTCTCTACAAACTCTGGTCTTCAACTATGGTTTTCAATTGGAACAACGAAATGGCCAAAAAAAATTAATTTAATTCATATTTTATAGGCTGTAGAAAGAGGAAAAACGCAATTCTTTGAGCCTTGCATCTACCTATAGGTAGCTAAAATTTCCTCAGGAATCGAAAGGAATTATGGTTTTATATGGTTTTAAGGCTCTGTCTCTCAAAGTTATAATCGCGATAATCGCGAAAAACGAAATCGCAAAAAAAAATAATTTAATTTATCTTGTATAGGGTGTAGGAAGTGGAAAAACGCAATTCTGAGCCGTCCATCTGCCTATAGGGAACCCAAATTTCCTCAGGAATCGAATGGCATAATGGCATGGAAACGACGTTCACTCGGCGGAAAAATTCGATTTTGGCGAAAGTCGATTTTCCCCCCGAAAAAGCCTAAATATGGCACTTTGAGTCTGGGTGCAAAAAAAATTTTTTTTCATTTCTGCATTTCCGGGGCAAGTGAGGGTCTCAGTGGCATTAGGCGGGCCAGAAAATACAGAATCAGCGTTCACCCGGCGGAAAAATTCGATTTTGGCGAAAGTCGACTTTCCCCCCGAAAAAAGCCTAAATATGGCACTTTGGCTCTGGGTGCAAAAAAAAAATTTTTTTATTTCTGCATTTCCGGGGCAAGTGAGGGCCTCAGTGGCATTAGGCGGGCCAGAAAATACAGAATCAGCGTTCACCCGGCGGAAAAATTCGATTTTGGCGAAAGTCGACTTTCCCCCCGAAAAAAGCCTAAATATGGCACTTTGGCTCTGGGTGCAAAAAAAAAATTTTTTTATTTCTGCATTTCCGGGGCAAGTGAGGGCCTCAGTGGCATTAGGCGGGCCAGAAAATACAGAATCAGCGTTCACCCGGCGGAAAAATTCGATTTTGGCGAAAGTCGACTTTCCCCCCGAAAAAAGCCTAAATATGGCACTTTGGCTCTGGGTGCAAAAAAAAAATTTTTTTATTTCTGCATTTCCGGGGCAAGTGAGGGCCTCAGTGGCATTAGGCGGGCCAGAAAATACAGAATCAGCGTTCACCCGGCGGAAAAATTCGATTTTGGCGAAAGTCGACTTTCCCCCCGAAAAAAGCCTAAATATGGCACTTTGGCTCTGGGTGCAAAAAAAAAATTTTTTTATTTCTGCATTTCCGGGGCAAGTGAGGGCCTCAGTGGCATTAGGCGGGCCAGAAAATACAGAATCAGCGTTCACCCGGCGGAAAAATTCGATTTTGGCGAAAGTCGACTTTCCCCCCGAAAAAAGCCTAAATATGGCACTTTGGCTCTGGGTGCAAAAAAAAAATTTTTTTATTTCTGCATTTCCGGGGCAAGTGAGGGCCTCAGTGGCATTAGGCGGGCCAGAAAATACAGAATCAGCGTTCACCCGGCGGAAAAATTCGATTTTGGCGAAAGTCGACTTTCCCCCCGAAAAAAGCCTAAATATGGCACTTTGGCTCTGGGTGCAAAAAAAAAATTTTTTTATTTCTGCATTTCCGGGGCAAGTGAGGGCCTCAGTGGCATTAGGCGGGCCAGAAAATACAGAATCAGCGTTCACCCGGCGGAAAAATTCGATTTTGGCGAAAGTCGACTTTCCCCCCGAAAAAAGCCTAAATATGGCACTTTGGCTCTGGGTGCAAAAAAAAAATTTTTTTATTTCTGCATTTCCGGGGCAAGTGAGGGCCTCAGTGGCATTAGGCGGGCCAGAAAATACAGAATCAGCGTTCACCCGGCGGAAAAATTCGATTTTGGCGAAAGTCGACTTTCCCCCCGAAAAAAGCCTAAATATGGCACTTTGGCTCTGGGTGCAAAAAAAAAATTTTTTTATTTCTGCATTTCCGGGGCAAGTGAGGGCCTCAGTGGCATTAGGCGGGCCAGAAAATACAGAATCAGCGTTCACCCGGCGGAAAAATTCGATTTTGGCGAAAGTCGACTTTCCCCCCGAAAAAAGCCTAAATATGGCACTTTGGCTCTGGGTGCAAAAAAAAAATTTTTTTATTTCTGCATTTCCGGGGCAAGTGAGGGCCTCAGTGGCATTAGGCGGGCCAGAAAATACAGAATCAGCGTTCACCCGGCGGAAAAATTCGATTTTGGCGAAAGTCGACTTTCCCCCCGAAAAAAGCCTAAATATGGCACTTTGGCTCTGGGTGCAAAAAAAAAATTTTTTTATTTCTGCATTTCCGGGGCAAGTGAGGGCCTCAGTGGCATTAGGCGGGCCAGAAAATACAGAATCAGCGTTCACCCGGCGGAAAAATTCGATTTTGGCGAAAGTCGACTTTCCCCCCGAAAAAAGCCTAAATATGGCACTTTGGCTCTGGGTGCAAAAAAAAAATTTTTTTATTTCTGCATTTCCGGGGCAAGTGAGGGCCTCAGTGGCATTAGGCGGGCCAGAAAATACAGAATCAGCGTTCACCCGGCGGAAAAATTCGATTTTGGCGAAAGTCGACTTTCCCCCCGAAAAAAGCCTAAATATGGCACTTTGGCTCTGGGTGCAAAAAAAAAATTTTTTTATTTCTGCATTTCCGGGGCAAGTGAGGGCCTCAGTGGCATTAGGCGGGCCAGAAAATACAGAATCAGCGTTCACCCGGCGGAAAAATTCGATTTTGGCGAAAGTCGACTTTCCCCCCGAAAAAAGCCTAAATATGGCACTTTGGCTCTGGGTGCAAAAAAAAAATTTTTTTATTTCTGCATTTCCGGGGCAAGTGAGGGCCTCAGTGGCATTAGGCGGGCCAGAAAATACAGAATCAGCGTTCACCCGGCGGAAAAATTCGATTTTGGCGAAAGTCGACTTTCCCCCCGAAAAAAGCCTAAATATGGCACTTTGGCTCTGGGTGCAAAAAAAAAATTTTTTTATTTCTGCATTTCCGGGGCAAGTGAGGGCCTCAGTGGCATTAGGCGGGCCAGAAAATACAGAATCAGCGTTCACCCGGCGGAAAAATTCGATTTTGGCGAAAGTCGACTTTCCCCCCGAAAAAAGCCTAAATATGGCACTTTGGCTCTGGGTGCAAAAAAAAAATTTTTTTATTTCTGCATTTCCGGGGCAAGTGAGGGCCTCAGTGGCATTAGGCGGGCCAGAAAATACAGAATCAGCGTTCACCCGGCGGAAAAATTCGATTTTGGCGAAAGTCGACTTTCCCCCCGAAAAAAGCCTAAATATGGCACTTTGGCTCTGGGTGCAAAAAAAAAATTTTTTTATTTCTGCATTTCCGGGGCAAGTGAGGGCCTCAGTGGCATTAGGCGGGCCAGAAAATACAGAATCAGCGTTCACCCGGCGGAAAAATTCGATTTTGGCGAAAGTCGACTTTCCCCCCGAAAAAAGCCTAAATATGGCACTTTGGCTCTGGGTGCAAAAAAAAAATTTTTTTATTTCTGCATTTCCGGGGCAAGTGAGGGCCTCAGTGGCATTAGGCGGGCCAGAAAATACAGAATCAGCGTTCACCCGGCGGAAAAATTCGATTTTGGCGAAAGTCGACTTTCCCCCCGAAAAAAGCCTAAATATGGCACTTTGGCTCTGGGTGCAAAAAAAAAATTTTTTTATTTCTGCATTTCCGGGGCAAGTGAGGGCCTCAGTGGCATTAGGCGGGCCAGAAAATACAGAATCAGCGTTCACCCGGCGGAAAAATTCGATTTTGGCGAAAGTCGACTTTCCCCCCGAAAAAAGCCTAAATATGGCACTTTGGCTCTGGGTGCAAAAAAAAAATTTTTTTATTTCTGCATTTCCGGGGCAAGTGAGGGCCTCAGTGGCATTAGGCGGGCCAGAAAATACAGAATCAGCGTTCACCCGGCGGAAAAATTCGATTTTGGCGAAAGTCGACTTTCCCCCCGAAAAAAGCCTAAATATGGCACTTTGGCTCTGGGTGCAAAAAAAAAATTTTTTTATTTCTGCATTTCCGGGGCAAGTGAGGGCCTCAGTGGCATTAGGCGGGCCAGAAAATACAGAATCAGCGTTCACCCGGCGGAAAAATTCGATTTTGGCGAAAGTCGACTTTCCCCCCGAAAAAAGCCTAAATATGGCACTTTGGCTCTGGGTGCAAAAAAAAAATTTTTTTATTTCTGCATTTCCGGGGCAAGTGAGGGCCTCAGTGGCATTAGGCGGGCCAGAAAATACAGAATCAGCGTTCACCCGGCGGAAAAATTCGATTTTGGCGAAAGTCGACTTTCCCCCCGAAAAAAGCCTAAATATGGCACTTTGGCTCTGGGTGCAAAAAAAAAATTTTTTTATTTCTGCATTTCCGGGGCAAGTGAGGGCCTCAGTGGCATTAGGCGGGCCAGAAAATACAGAATCAGCGTTCACCCGGCGGAAAAATTCGATTTTGGCGAAAGTCGACTTTCCCCCCGAAAAAAGCCTAAATATGGCACTTTGGCTCTGGGTGCAAAAAAAAAATTTTTTTATTTCTGCATTTCCGGGGCAAGTGAGGGCCTCAGTGGCATTAGGCGGGCCAGAAAATACAGAATCAGCGTTCACCCGGCGGAAAAATTCGATTTTGGCGAAAGTCGACTTTCCCCCCGAAAAAAGCCTAAATATGGCACTTTGGCTCTGGGTGCAAAAAAAAAATTTTTTTATTTCTGCATTTCCGGGGCAAGTGAGGGCCTCAGTGGCATTAGGCGGGCCAGAAAATACAGAATCAGCGTTCACCCGGCGGAAAAATTCGATTTTGGCGAAAGTCGACTTTCCCCCCGAAAAAAGCCTAAATATGGCACTTTGGCTCTGGGTGCAAAAAAAAAATTTTTTTATTTCTGCATTTCCGGGGCAAGTGAGGGCCTCAGTGGCATTAGGCGGGCCAGAAAATACAGAATCAGCGTTCACCCGGCGGAAAAATTCGATTTTGGCGAAAGTCGACTTTCCCCCCGAAAAAAGCCTAAATATGGCACTTTGGCTCTGGGTGCAAAAAAAAAATTTTTTTATTTCTGCATTTCCGGGGCAAGTGAGGGCCTCAGTGGCATTAGGCGGGCCAGAAAATACAGAATCAGCGTTCACCCGGCGGAAAAATTCGATTTTGGCGAAAGTCGACTTTCCCCCCGAAAAAAGCCTAAATATGGCACTTTGGCTCTGGGTGCAAAAAAAAAATTTTTTTATTTCTGCATTTCCGGGGCAAGTGAGGGCCTCAGTGGCATTAGGCGGGCCAGAAAATACAGAATCAGCGTTCACCCGGCGGAAAAATTCGATTTTGGCGAAAGTCGACTTTCCCCCCGAAAAAAGCCTAAATATGGCACTTTGGCTCTGGGTGCAAAAAAAAAATTTTTTTATTTCTGCATTTCCGGGGCAAGTGAGGGCCTCAGTGGCATTAGGCGGGCCAGAAAATACAGAATCAGCGTTCACCCGGCGGAAAAATTCGATTTTGGCGAAAGTCGACTTTCCCCCCGAAAAAAGCCTAAATATGGCACTTTGGCTCTGGGTGCAAAAAAAAAATTTTTTTATTTCTGCATTTCCGGGGCAAGTGAGGGCCTCAGTGGCATTAGGCGGGCCAGAAAATACAGAATCAGCGTTCACCCGGCGGAAAAATTCGATTTTGGCGAAAGTCGACTTTCCCCCCGAAAAAAGCCTAAATATGGCACTTTGGCTCTGGGTGCAAAAAAAAAATTTTTTTATTTCTGCATTTCCGGGGCAAGTGAGGGCCTCAGTGGCATTAGGCGGGCCAGAAAATACAGAATCAGCGTTCACCCGGCGGAAAAATTCGATTTTGGCGAAAGTCGACTTTCCCCCCGAAAAAAGCCTAAATATGGCACTTTGGCTCTGGGTGCAAAAAAAAAATTTTTTTATTTCTGCATTTCCGGGGCAAGTGAGGGCCTCAGTGGCATTAGGCGGGCCAGAAAATACAGAATCAGCGTTCACCCGGCGGAAAAATTCGATTTTGGCGAAAGTCGACTTTCCCCCCGAAAAAAGCCTAAATATGGCACTTTGGCTCTGGGTGCAAAAAAAAAATTTTTTTATTTCTGCATTTCCGGGGCAAGTGAGGGCCTCAGTGGCATTAGGCGGGCCAGAAAATACAGAATCAGCGTTCACCCGGCGGAAAAATTCGATTTTGGCGAAAGTCGACTTTCCCCCCGAAAAAAGCCTAAATATGGCACTTTGGCTCTGGGTGCAAAAAAAAAATTTTTTTATTTCTGCATTTCCGGGGCAAGTGAGGGCCTCAGTGGCATTAGGCGGGCCAGAAAATACAGAATCAGCGTTCACCCGGCGGAAAAATTCGATTTTGGCGAAAGTCGACTTTCCCCCCGAAAAAAGCCTAAATATGGCACTTTGGCTCTGAAAATTTAGCAGTTCAAAAATTTTAAATGAAATTGATGATTAAAAAATTAAATACCTGCATTAAATTGGTGATTGGAAACAGATCGAAAAATTTATTTCATTGAAAACTTCAATAAGATTGACATTCTTCCCCACAATTTAATAACAATAGACTATATTATATCCCTAAATAATTCATCTTACATTGGAAGACATGCAATTTATTATAAGATCGTTGTTCATTGTATCTCCTGCAAAATAATGAATAAATTAATTATAAAAATATACTATACCTCACTGACAACAAATTACACCATTTAAATAATCATAAATATGATTGTTATCCCTGTCGTGAAATTCACATCGACGACCTCAGTACCCAATAAACCTCTAGAACATTCATTCACAAGGAGACATCGAGAAATTCGTGTTACCACCTATGTTCTCAAATTTGAAAGACATAATTATTGGACGATGAACATTACTTTCCTTATTAACGTAGGATAACACCTTTGATATACTATACACTGAAATAACATTTATAAAATTCATTGTATCGCAGCAGTCTTTGTAACTCAGTAGCCAAGTTCAAATTTTAATATTTTTCAAATTATTCCGGTGAGAGGACAATGTCGAAAGATTTCATCTTAATTATTTTGAAATAGTTTCCGAAGTTAGGATTTGAAACTAAATTATTTTTCGTTGAGGATAAACAGTTATGAGGGTCAAGTGACCCTTAAAGACGTTTGGAGATGATGGTCACGTTTTCTAAAGGTTTCACTCTCAAAACCATTTGACCCTTGGTGTTTTTAAAAATTGTGTGACCCTCAGGACCATTTAACCCTCAGCCCTGAACGTTTTTAAAGGTCATTTAATCCTGAAAATTAGTTGAGGCTCAACTCCAAACGTCTTTAAGGCTCCTTTGACCCTCAAGCCCATTTCTTTCAACTGTGAACTTTTTTAAAGGTCATTTGACCCTCAAAATCAGTTGACCTTCAATTTTAAACGTGTTTATGGCTCATTCGATGCTCGAGACGATTTGGCCCTTAACTCTGAACGTTTTTAAAGATCATTTGACCCTCAAAATAAGTTGACCCTCAACTTCAAATATCCTTAGGGCTCGTTTGAGCCTCGACACCAATTGACTTTCAATTCCAAATTTTCTTAAAGCTCGTTTGACTCCCAACACCATTTGACCCTCACCTAAGAAAGAAAAAATAATTCTCCAAAGTGTCCCAGACATTTTTCCCTTAAACTCCTCATATTAAACTTCACTACTGAATCAATCTCCTATTAATACCTCCTAAAACACCTCAATAAATTCACCATCTAATCTATATCAATATCTTCCAATCGAATCTACTATTACTGGAATGGGTAATAGGTGGAAAAGGTGGTGGATGTAGTTGCCAGCCATCAATCTCCTCCTGCGCAGTGAGACAAGCGAGATAGGGAACTCTCTGGACGAGTCTGGTCACTTCAGCAGCCGAGGGAATTCTCCCCCCAGTGAGTTGCCTGGTGCAAGCAGCGAGAGAAGCTGCATGAGCTACGATAAGAATATTTCCAACAGTGCTCTCGATGATCCTCTTGATCAGCTTGTAACTCCTCTCGTAATACTGAGCAGCGTTCTCCCTCTGAGGGAGTTCGTCAGCTTTAACAATAGCTTCGTAATTTCTGTCTACGTTGAACCCAGCTTTGCTCAAGTCCTCATTATTCATCCAGGTGGGTAGGCCATTGGGATACCAGGCCAACCACTCGATCAGTCCAGGCTCCACCTTCATTGGAACACTGGACCCAAGACCTTTGAGAATTTTTGATAAAGTCTGAACACATCTTAACGAAGGGGAAGTGAAGGCAACATCGATCTTCACGGCTGATGACTTCATGGCTTCACCCACTAGGCTTGCCTGCGTCTCCCCGAGGGTGGTTAAGGGACTGTCGTTGTGGAATTCCTGGAAAATCAGATGGGGATTAGTTTTTAGTTGAGGGTCAAATGGGTTTCAGGGTCAAGTGACCCTTAATGAGGATCGGCGTTGAGGGTCGAATGGTTGTAAGGGTCAAACCCTTTAAGATGAGTATTGTAGATATTGCTTTGACCCGTTGGCCTCTTAAGACCATTTAACTCGCAAATCTGAACATCTTCAAGGGTTGTTTGACATTTTAAGGGTCATTTGACCCTCAAGACCCTCCAACATTTAAATCAAAATGGTTTAAGGGTCCTTTGACCATCAATACCATTTGACCCTCAATTCCAAACTTCCTAAAATGTTATTTGACCCTTAAGCCCACCTGACCATCAATTCCTCGTTGTTTGACCCTTTGTAAGGGTCATTTGACCCCCAACACCATTAGGCTCTCAACAATAGAAACAATCCAAAAATATCCTGAAAACTACCTGAATATTTCGCGGTGGTATCTCCTTAGGCATATTTAGATCCCTTCTTATGTAGCTCCCATTCGCCTCGAAGCAGTACGGTATCCACGCCCCGAACGTAAAATCCACCCTCTCCCCATGTCTGCAAATATAAATCTGTCTGGAAGGGGTTGAAGGGGACACCAGACCCTCCAAGGGTTCACTGTCCGTAGCCACTCCATCAGGGGTGTCAATGGACTCCGAGGAGGACAACACAGGAGGTTTCCTGCTCCTCGGGATATCCATCTCCGGGTCATGATCATTACTCCCATTGATCTGAACAGTCGTGTGAAGGGTCCAGGAGTCTGTCTCCGCTGTTCTCTCAGTATAATTCAACGGGAGATAGCCGGAGGTTCCTGTCAGCCAGGAGACCCCCTCCACCCAGCCGTCGATGGAGGCACTGCAGGCGCCTTCTGGCAGGTAAATATAATCCCCAGGTCTCAATTCCAATTCATCATGCTCTTTGGGGACGTGGGCATGAGTCACTTTATGCACATGAGCGTCTCGAAGTCGAGAATCTCTGGAATTGAGATTTGATTCAGTGATTTTTTAATGTTTGTATTAAGGATCATTTGACCCTCAAAATCATTTGACCCACAATCCGGAACGTTGCTAAAGTTCATCGGACCTTTGACCTTCAACTCCAAATGTCCTTAAGGCTCGCTTGACCTTCAAGACCATTTGACTCTTATCTCTGTACGTTCTTAAAGTTTATTTCACCCCCAAGACCATTTGGCCTTTTACTCAAACCTCTATAAGGGTTCTTTGACCCTCAACTCCATACGTCCTGAATGACCGATTGCTTTTCAAAATCATTTACGTTCATAAGGATAGTTTGAAATATCGTACGAAAAAGGAATGAAAGAATTTTTGTCAAATAATTCATTTATATCTGACATTACCTGGAATAGAGTCTCAATTCCCAATTGCTAGTAGAATTACTCCCCAATCTTTCCACCATCGACCTCAGAGGCTGAAAGAGATTGCTGGAGAACTGATAGGCCAGAGATATGTGCAACGAGTTGGTGTGAGCCTCCGCATTGATTCCCAGGGCTGATAATTTGTGGACGAAGCGAACTGCTACTGCGTCCAGCCATTTCGCCTGTTTGTCGTCCACGAAGAGGCCCATGAAGTTGGGGGATATGTACGTGTCGAAGTCTATGCACTCAGGGCACTCACTCTGATCGAGGAGGGTATCTAATGCGTGGGAGACCTGCTCGGCGGATTCGTCGGGGACCTTGAAGAAGCGCGTCAGGGTGATGTGTGGGAGGTAGTTGTGGGCTTTGTTCCATTCTAGATCTCTCGATTCAACCCAGAATTTCGCGAGCTTCTCAGCGAGGAGGCCCGTGGGACAGAGGTAGAGGATGTACTCGCGGGGCTCCTCGGTGTCTAGGCTTGGGTCCCGAACGTGCGCCAGGAGCCAGTCGGAGGCGAGCTGCACGCCACGGTGACCTGTCGCGGCTAGGGCCTTCTCCCTGGAAGGAGAATTCTCTTCACGCTTTTTTCACGGTTGCAACCCAGTTTTATTCATTGTGGGGAATATTGTTGTGGAGTCCGTGAATATGTCTGTGTGTTTTGTTGTCTGAAGAAAGATCCTAGTGAGGTGGCATGAAGGAGAGAAGGCGCTGCGTCACCAGATATTTAGAATAAACATTCAGTAGTGAAGCGGCACTCGCACACATCTCCCACGGGTCGAAAAAAAATTTTACGCACTCGTATCGAAATACTCTTTTTTTTTAATTATACCGTACGATATTTTATGGTACTGGTGAAAAAAAGGCGGTTGTTTGCGCGCAAAGTGTGCAAAAAAAGTGCCCTTTTTTCGCTTGTATGATAATTGTATATTGTGTTACTAGTGTGTAAAGACCCACTTTTTCGTACGCACGTGTAATACATCTTTGAATTTCGACCATGAGAATTCACTTTACATACGCTCGTGAACATTACGCACGCCGTATGAAAAATAACCGCTTTGCGCACACTAAACCGTTTCAAAAAGTGCGCTTTTCAGGCAGGTATCACGAAAAAGCATTTATATTTAAATATTTCCCAATCTAAGGGAAATAGCAAAATTTTCGTCAAGACCTTTTTTATAGAGCAGATTGAGAGCTACGAAAAAGGTTATTACAAAAATTTTGCCATCTGCTTTAAATTCTGAGATATTCATTGGGAAGTAACCGATTGTCAAAATTGACTTGAACCGCTTTGCTACTGCATTCATTATCGACTAAATATTAGAGACGATAAGTTTCTGAGAAATATTGCGATGGAAAGAAAGGTGATCTTCAGGGTATACTCCAGAGAAGTGTGAAATGAAAAGTACTCATGTTGTGACAGTTTTATTATGGTGTTGTTTAGTTTTTGAATTTTCTTGGGTGAATGAGGTCTGTGTGACGAGTAGTGAGATCACTTATTGGAATAAAGGGTGTACAGGTGGGAATGAATGCGAAGGGAAGAGAATTTTAAAAATATAAAACGAAAAGATTGCTCTTCCAAATGAGAGAATGAAGAGTGAGTCAGTTGTGTAAATCAATCTTTTGGTATTGATATCACTCTAATTAATTGATTCTAACCAATGATTTATTTGAAATTAATGCAGAATTTATTTGATAAAGTTGGAATATCTCCTTTGAAATAAATCCATAAGTTTTTAAATAACTCAATAAGAGTTTCATTTTTTTTAAAATCATTAAAACACCAAATCTCACAAAATAAATGAAAAATTATGAAGTTGTCACGATTGCCATCATAAAAATGAATGTTATGGAGTTTGAGGTCAACTGCACCAGCTGTCATGCCCCCCAGTGTCTGTCCGCCCATCCGTAAACAAAACAGCGAGCCAAATCTCCTGCTATATTACCCCGAAAAATCCCCGATCCGTCTGACATTCTCCGATAATCAACTATAACGAGACTTACGCTCGATGCTTCGGAAATCCGAGTTGCAGCAGTATCTGAAGTGGGGTCAAATGTTCCTTTGATATTTTCGTTGGTGTCGGATTTTTTCGTGGAGGTAATGTCGCCATGGCGGCTTACATTGCTCCGAATTTTCCCAAGGTGCGGCTTTTGTGTGCGTTGAGGAAGGTAAAGAAAGAGAGATGGTGAAGCTTGGGGCTCCTCCAGAAGGTGGCAGCAGGTGTTCATCATCTGTTGCTGGAAATGTTCGATATTCGAAAAAAGATCGATTCCTTTGAATCGGTTGAAGTCGCCACATGCGGAATCGACAATAAGTAATCTCGATATATCGATAAGTCGATATAAATTATCCATTGATAAAATGTAAAAAAATCAGTTGCATTAAATAAAAAAATTACAAAAATAAACAATAAAAAAATATTGAAAAAATTACTTTTCGATTATTAAATCTCGATATTGGGGCAAGAAATATCGATTCCTACGATATATTGACGCGAAACAATTGATAGACATCGATTATTAGACCACGAAATATCGATCTCTACAATAATCGATGTTATATCGAACATTCCTATTATTTTAGGTGCCGGTGGTTCATTGTTTTGGTTCTAAAAATACTTTTTTGTTGTTTAAAACCTAGTGTTGAGCCTCCAAAACGCCTTCCTAGGGCTGATTAAAAAATTATTGATCTTTTGTCCCTCGAATCAGTTGTTCAAAGGGTTTCTAAGGACTTTATTTCGATCGGATATGAACCGTTTACCCATGCACAATGCCCTGAAGCACCTGGGGTGGCTCGAGGGTACGTGGAGAACGGACTTCCCTGGAGAAGGGAAATACCCGACGATCAAGGGTTTCAAGTACGAGGAGGAGATCAAGTTCGTTTCCATTGGACAACCTATGTTCAATTATGAGAGTCAGACGTGGCATCCCGAGAGGAAGAGCCCCATGCACCGGGAGGTGGGGTTTCTCAGGGTCATCCCCGAGAGCAACAGAGTTAAATTGATACTGGCTCACAATTTTGGAGTTTCGAGCATTGAGGAGGGGGAGGTCGATGGGAAAAAAATGGTTTTTGAGAGCACTGGGGTGCAGAGGATGTCTGAGGGCACTAAAGATCCTCCTGTTGTCAAGGTGAATCTAATTCACAACTGATTTCATTTTATTCTATTCTTTTTGATTTTTTTAATTTTATTTGGTTTTATTTTATTCTATATTTTATTCCTACCATTATAGCCAATTATTCTTAATATATGATATGGTTATCCATATGGATTTTTGTAAATTTTCCGTAGAAAATATTTGACAAAAAAAATGATGGAATTTGGTTTGTTTATGCAAGTTATTCTCTTTAAATCATTTCTGTAGAAATTCTTGGACGTAAATTTTCTGTTAATTTGTTTATCATAAAAAAATCTGAATTTGTGTAGAAAAAATCCCAATAGAATAAGTTATATAGAAAAATCAACATCTATAGATATTTTTCTGTAAGCAAACATCTATTTACGAAGTTCTGGAGACGCATAATTATTAATAGAATTCACGCAAAAACCAAATAGAGTCGTTCAATAGAATTCTAATAGAATTTCTTAGAAAAAACGTTTTTAACCGCAAAGAGAATTGAATAAAACTTGGAAAATGTCAAGGAACTCGCAATAGAAAAAAGTGAATAGAGAGATGAAATTGTAGTTTTTAAAAATAAAAATAGTGTCTACTGAAGATTTGATTTAACAGCAATTAGAGTTGCTCGTAAAATCAATAAGTTATTCATTCACTCCGCAATTTTTCTTTTAGCTATAAATTGAACATAAGATTTTTTTAACAGTTGAGGAGGGAATGGAAACTCGAAGGAGACACTCTGGAGCAAATAGTCTACATGTCCACAACAACAACTCCAGATTTGACTGAACATCTTCGAGCTAAATACGTGAGAGTGAATACTGAAGTTTGATGAACAGATTGTGATTACATAAAATTTAATGATTTCTGATAATATTTTTTTTGTGATTACTTCGATGATTCGAGTGCTATGTAGCTTTACATTTTTATATTAAATAATTTTCTACAGAAAAAAAAAACAAATTCATTGTGACTGATTTCTATATATCAAATTTTATCAAATAATTAAATTAAAACTTATAGTTTCTGTTAATTTTTTCGTCAAATTGAGAATTCTCAATGACAAAATTCCTTGAAATTTCAATGAAACTGTTCAATTTCTGTTAATATATTTTTAGTGATAACTTCGATGATTCAAGTGCCATGTAGCTTTATATTTTTATATTAAATAGTTTTCAAGAGCAAAAAAAATCACTGAAACTGATTTTCTATTAATTTTCATAAAATAATTGAATTGTAATTTACAGTTTCTGTTGACTTTTTCGTTAAATTTTAAATTCTCAATGACGAAATTCCTTGAAATTTCAATAGAACTGTAACTTGACAAAAAAATCTCCAAGACTTTCCAGATATCTGTGCCACATAAATAATCGCCAACAGTATCATCGTGATGGACTTCAACTTGACCACTTCATTAAGAATTCCCTAAACATCAGATTAATTTTGTTCTCGACACGCGATCGTCCCACGTCCCCTCAAATCATCATCAGCAGTTTATTTTGATTTTCCTCATTATTTCAACGAAAAAATTCCAAACTTCTGAGATAGCGTGGGCCTCGAAGGGCTTCTCAGTCTCATAATTTCTTGGCCGTTTAATCACCCAACTTTGCACTCGTAAAAAGCCAAGAGTCGGGGGCGGGTGCATGCATACAGCTGTGTGGGAGCATTGCTAGGGTTTCAGGTGAAGGGGAATTGGAAAACACCTGTATTGAGTTCAACCCCCTGCCTGCCATACTCCGATTCCCCAGTGCGACAGTTGCTCACTGCCGAGTGAGCCGAAGGGGTCGTGGCATCGACATCCTGTCGATTTCTATTTTCTTCATTCTGTATTCGTTAATAAATTGTTCATTTCTCCCCACGAATCCCTTTAAATCCAATTTGCAAATGGAAATTTGTGTGTTTTACTAAAATTGAGGGTAATTATCTTTGATAGTTCACACACGAAACAAAAATCTAAAAATTCTACTGGAGAATTTCAGAAATTTAATTTTTCTGTACAACTTATACTATTGAGAATATATTCTATTGAAATTCTATAGAAATTTTCAAAATTGTTTAGTTCGAATTTTTTGATTAGAGAAAAATAATTATTAGACTATTTTTTCTCTGTCTTAACAAAAATTAATTTAAAAAATTAGAAAATTTTCTGCCCAGCACTTTCTGAAGAAAATATCTCAGTAGAATAAACTATATGAAAAAAATTAATTCAATTGAAAAAAAAGCGCGCCGATCTCAATGAACGAAGAAAAAATCTGCAGTTCTGCAAAATGTCAGCATGACACCGCTATTCGATAATCAAGAATATTACAAGAAGATGCTGGAGCTCCAGGAGAAGCTGCGGAAGAGGTAAACAAAAATCTTCATCCCTCCTCTGTAATCAGTTAAGAGGACGGGAAGTATTGAATAATTTTCTCTGGATTTTTCCAGTGAAGAAGAGAGGATTCGACTTGAGGAACGCTTCAACCTCCTGGAGCAAGAGTCTCGAATCAGGTGAGAAGAAATTTCAAGAGAATATTTCAATTTCTGTCAATGAATTTTCTCATTAAGTTATTCCGCAGTCATTTGTTTCTCGTTAAGGGGAGATCGCGATGAAATTTGAAAATCGTGGGGACCTGTATTTACTGTGCTGATGAGATTTCTACTTCATTTTTAATGTAAAAAAAAAGAAAAAATTTTCTTTTCGATTTTTTTCATTGATTACGATATTTTAATACCACAATAATTTTTTTTTGTTTTATTGTTTTTAAATTAATTTTTTCATTCACAATTGCAAATTTTTCACCTCAACTAATTTTAAGAATAAAATTCCAAAAACTAAAAGATAAAACTCTCAAAAAAGCTCATTTAGTTATGAATATGGACAAATCATGTATGTGTGAACAAAAATTTAAGTCAATCGGTTAAAAATTGCGTCATAAAGACATTTTTGAAGATTTTATTCTGTTGAAGTTTCTCTCGGATCAATAAAAATAATAAAACCCAACTTTTTCGTATTTTTTCACATTAAAACTGAAGTAGTAGTCGCAGAGACATTTATTCATCATATTGACGAATGTACCACTTTAGTTTTGAAGTAAAAAAATTAGAAAAAATTAGGTTTCAATTTTTTTCATTGATAAAATCTTTAAAATTGTTCAAATTCAAGTGGATAGTGAATTATGAATTTTGTGAACATTCTTTTCATCATTTATAAAGTATTATATAAAATTCCTACTTCAATGACATGTGATCTAGTTGAATATTACTAATTTCTCAAATCTTTCAGATAGAAATTGTCACTTTCAATTGAAAATTCTCCGACCTTATTGGCGATTTTATTGCGATAAATTCCCTTTCTAATCAATAAAAAAGATGAAATCCTAATGTTGTCTCATGTTTTGACATTAAAACAAGTAGTAAACTCATCAGCACGATAAAGGCCCCAGCAATTTCGAAATTTCAGTGCAGTCCCCCTCGAGTCACGCACTCCCCCGAGAACATTCCCCAGATATCCTCGACCCGGTTCCCCAGGTATGTCATCGAATCGATACGTCCTTCCACCCGCAAAAATGATGATATTTCCCATCTCAGTGATATATCATCCCCAAGAATGGAAAATCGATGGGGAGACGACAAGTACCGAACGCCTGGTACCGTTGTATCTATCTCAGCAACATTCAATGTCACGAGTAGCGTGTCTGGAACAGTTTAGTCGATTAAACTTGCCCGGGGGAACTTTGTCCCGAAAATTCATCTATAGCAGCTAACGCCGACATTCGATTCTAGACAACATCGGAGCGTCATTGGATTTCTTGGTTTATTGTTTGCAGGCACGAGGCGTGCATAAATAAACTCAGAATGAGGTACATCGAATTTTTGGAGGAGCAGAGGAGCAGGGACGAGAGAAACAGAAAATTACTGGGTGCACTGGACAGGGTTGACTCGAGTCTCGCGGTGATGAGTGCCAAGACAGATAAACTTTATTCTTTGAGGGTAATTCATTTCTCCTCTTCAATTTTCATAAAAATAAATATAAATAAAGAAAATTCACACTCAACCAGAAATCAAACAAATTGAAATTAAATGGAAAGATAAATAAAAAGAATGAGCAGGAAGAGAAGGAAGTGAGCTTTCTTCATTTAATTTATCGATGAGCATTTTATTAATCTGCACTGCGCGCTGCTTTTTGCAATTTTCTTTTTATATTGCTTCATGTGTTTCTCCCTTTCCCGCGAGGGTAATGTATCTGTTACACAAATGAACAATTATCATATTTTTATTGTATTTCAATTTTTTTTTCATGGGCTTATAATGTCATTAGTTGTGGATTCAACGAGTCACGCATGACAAAATTTTATAGAAAATTTGCCGAATTCGCGAGAAAATTCTACTGAATTTCAATGGAATTTTTATTTAGTTTTTGGAAGATTTGATTGAGAAATTCCCTAGCTTGTCTGCGTCTTATTTTTCAATGAAAATGTTCAATAGAAAATGTCTCAATAGAAAAAGTTCTATAAGAAAATCAAATTCTACCGTTTTTTATTTAAAAAACGCGGAATTCTTCAATAGCATCGACCAAAAACTAATAAAATTTTCAATAGAAATCGTCAGATTTTTCTATATTTTTTTTTTCATTACAGTTTAGTTTAGCTCATTGCAAACCTACCGAATTCGCTAAAAGAATCTATAAGATTTCTATTGACCGTTCTATTGGCTTTTGGTAGAATCTATTGAAGAATTTTGCAGCTCATCTGTTCGTTTTTTTTATAGAAATGTCCAATGGGAAATATTGTATAGAAAAAAATCAATAGAATTTGGCGTTTTATACAACTTATTCTATCGAAATATTTTCTATAGAAATTCCTCCGCTCAAATTTTCCACGTTTTTTCCATTCTATTTTTCTTGTCTTCTCGCTGAGAAAATCAAACAAAAAAACTTCAGCCGAGGAAATTCTGTAGAAAATACCTCAATAGAACAAGTTATACAGAAAAATCGAATTCTATACTTTTTCTATCGAATATTTTCTATTAAACCCTTCAACAGAATCGGCCAAAAGCTAATAGAAAGTTCAGTAGAATTGTGTAACGAATTCACTAGTTTTTTCTATTAAATTTTTTCATCCGTGCCCCCTCGCCTTACAGAAGGAGTACGACGCGTCGATCCTCCGAGCGCACGCCTGCCGCCGCCAGACGCCCAGCGTAACAGGTGACTCAGGCATCCTGAGCCAAGCCGACGACCGAAGGCTCCAGAAGTACCCGTCGCCTCCCTTCCCCTCAGCCTCCCTCTCGACCCTCCTCCACCCCCGGAGGGTCCATTCCCCGCCTGCCCCCTCGCCCCCTCACCCGAAGCCCCTGTCCTACCCCCCACGTCCCACAATCGACTTCCACGACCGCTTCCCCTCGAGATCTCGAGACCTGTCGGCCACCTGGGGCCTCCCCAGCCTCAACATCCCTCATTCAGAGGATCTCGACTCCCTCAGAAGAACCCCTCGATACCCGAAGGACCCCTCCCCCTTCCAATACCCGGAAACCGTCAACCCTCTCAAGCCCTCGAGACTAATTTCAACTTCCCTCCTCTCGACCCCCAACTGCGAAGACGAAAAAACCGGAAACGCTGTTGAAAACGAACTCGAGCGGTACATCAGCAAGATAAGAAGTCTTCACGGAGACCTGGAGCACAGTCAGGAGGACCACGAGCAGAACACGAGTGGAGATTTGCTGAATGTCACCCTCTCGGATGACGGCCTTGACCATCTGCCACCTGAAGACAAGACGCGAGGACTTCCCGATGAAGTTGAGAAGGTTCTGGCTCTCGCAGAGGACCTGGCGTCACGAACGATGGAACCTCCGGAGAAGTCACCAACGGATCCACCAGGTGAGAACCTCAATCCGTCAGAGACTAACGAGCATCAGAGGCCGGAGGAAATTAAATCGATTGCGAAAGATTTGGAAATAGAACGGTCTCAGAATGCGGATTTAACGGAGCGAAAAATTAACGAGACTTCAGTAAATCCTGGATCACCGGAGGTATCAGCAGGGAGTGCATTAAATATTGCAGAGGAAGTCGTTAACAATGATGATGTTGAGGAGTTGGAGCCCTGGAGTCCAGAGAGTGTCCAAGCGCACGTGGAGGAGGTATTAATAAACCAGGAAGGATTGGAAAGTGGAGAGGCTAAAAGTGCGTCTGAGACTGGTGACAAAAATAATTCGGATGATTCCGGGGATAAAGATAATTCGGTGATGGGAGGTGACAGAGATGATGTGGCGGAGCGAGACGCTAATTTGGCGAGTGATGGAGGAGGCGAACCTCGGGAGGAGGGGGGTGAGGGGGGCCAGGGGGCTGTGCAGTACCCGGAGGGGAATTATGATGGCAATGCTGGGTATGATTATGGTGGTCAGGGTGAGGGGTATCAGTATGCTGAGGGGTATCAGTACAATTATGATGAGAATGGTGAGGTGGTTGGAGGGGGGTATTCGGGAGGAGGTGAGCAGTATCAAGGGGACAATTATGAGGCAAATGTGGAGTATCAGCAGGAGAGCTATCCTGAGGGATCGAACGTGCAGTATTCGCAGGGGAATTATGGGGAAGGTGGAGGTGGGGAGTATCAGGAGGGGAGTTATGAGGGCGGGGATGGACATGCTCAGTATCAAGAGGGGAGTTATCCTCAAGAGGGAAATTATCCTCAGTATGAGGAGTCCAGTCAACAGTATCAGGGGGAGTACCCGCAGGATGGGAATCAGGGGTACGACGCCAGTGGTTATGGATATTCTTATGAGCAAGAGGGGTATCAGGAATATCAGGAGGCTCAGGCTTCTGGGAAGGAGGAGGGAGGGACTGCAGAGCTGGTGCAGCAGGTGGAGGGGCCCAGTGCTGGGGAGGAAGGGGTTGAGGAGGAGAGCAAGAAGAAAAAGGATGTCATCAAGTCGATTTTGGAGTCGGAGACTGAGAGCAGTATTGAGAAGAATACTGAGAATACTGAGAGTGACTTTGATTTTAATTAAATCTCTAGATCTCATCGAAACAAATCCGTCCATAGTAAACGAACATCTTCAGTAATAATTACGAAGTTAATAAGGAAGGCCGCGGCGAAATAAAACTCTAGGGAGAACGATGACTACTTGGCATAAACCGGGAAACTTTTTTTTTGTTTTTAATTGAGGGTCAAATGGTCTTGAAGAGTAAACGATCTTGAACATTCTTAAGGGCGATTTGACCATTTGGTCATTTGACCCTCAAGATTATTTAACCCTTAACCCTGAACGTTTTCGAGGGTCATGTGACCCTCAAGACTATTTGACTCTCGACTCCAGACGTCTTTAAGGATCATTCAACTAATTCATGGTTTTAAGACCATTCGACCCTTGATCTTAAACATTTTCAAGGCTCTTTGACCCTTAAAAACATTTAACCCTCAACTCGAAACGTCCATAAGGGCCATTTCATCCTCAACATCATTCCATTCTAATCTCTCAACATTTTTATCGGTTTTCTGACCTTCAAGATTATTTAACTATTAACCCTGAACGTTTCAAGGGTCATTTAACCCTCAACACTATTGAATTTTCGACTCCAGATGTTCTTAAAGATCATTCGGTCCTTACGGCCATTCGACCCTTGACCTTAAAAATTTTCAAGGGTTTGACCCTCACCTCGAAACGTCCATAAGGGCCATTTGACCCTCAAACCCATTCGATTCTAAACCCCAAACATTTTTAAGGGTCATTTGACCCTCAAATAAAAACAAAAACAAAGTTTCTCAAATCCTTCCAAATAGTCGTTTCGCCTTTAATAAAAAAATGTTGATCGATTCTAAAATCAATAAAAATAATAACTCAATTCACCTGTAATTACCGAAATGCAATAAACCATACAGCAATAGTGAAAAATATCGTAAAATTCCAGTTATTTCCAAAAAAATTCTGAGCTAAAATACAAACGAGAGAACGAGGGGCGTTGGTCAGTTCCACCAGGGTCGATTCGATTGTATGGATTTTCCCCAACGACACGAGCCTGCGCCAATCGTGCGTTACCACCAGTTCCACTCAACATTTTCCCGATGCACTTGCCAAATAACTCGTGCACGTATCAACGGAAAATCAAGCGGCATCTAATCCTCCAACTCATTTCCACTGATTCATTATTTTGAAACGTAAACGCAACTCACTCGACAGTTGACTCATATGATACCTCCTCCAGTCAAGTTTGCGCGTGTTCAGTATCTTCTGTCAAACTGGGCGATACGGATGCTCTGGAGCCGCTCGTGTGATTATTCCCGTTGATCTTTCATTCGGACCCAATAATTATAGTTAATTGATTCTCAATTGATTGTTCGAAAAATTTATTTGCAGAATTGTTGGAAGTTGGGGCTTTATATTGATTTTTGTCTCGCGGATTTTTGGGTTCTTTTTGCCAATTTGTTGGTGGAACGCGGGGAGGCGCAGGGGAATTACATCGCAATCAGACTACTCAACACGTTGGTTGTGCGTGCGATTGTCCAGTGACTCTCAAGTGGTGATAATCGGACAGGGGCTCTCACTACGCTCTACGGAATCAGCTGTTCGTCGCATTGAGGTAGGCCGGCGTTTTTTGGGATTTAAAGGAGTGTAAACATGAGTTGAATTTTGAAGAGTAAAGATTGGGGTACCAACGCCGTTTACAATAGATTCACTCCTTATTCTCAAAAGACTAGAACCAATTGAAATTGTAATTTCGTGTCAATTTCGCTTTGTAAATCGAATACTTATGGTTTTGTAAACCTAACGATTCCAAATTTTACAACTAAAATCAATATTATATTCAATTCAACTCTAAATTTTTTGGTTGTCGAAACATTCCCAAATTGAACTCTATCGCTAATATAATAGTATATTTCGTAACGAGTGCAAAAAATATTTTTTCACGAGTTACGAACAATATTTTTCATCACAATGTGGCGAAAATTGGACTTTTAGGCGCGCGGAGCGTGCCGAAAAGTTCACTTTTCGTCACAGCGTGATGAAAAATTCTTTTCCAATTAATATTTTCTGAGCGTCGTCCAATAAATTCAAATTTTAATAATTTTAGCTTCTCTTTTCAATGTAACGATTGAAAAGATGACTCCGGACATAACAATGAATTCATCAAAACTCACAAGATTAGAATTGAGGATACTAAACAATTATTGTGTTCAAAAAAGACAACAAGCAAAGGCAAATTGACATGTAATATTCATCCAAACGTTTGTAAATAACCCACTGTAGGTTGATACACGAATAAAAAAAATCTGGGATAAATTCTAAACGAATATTAATAATTATGTAATTAATATGAATCACATGATAATAATCGCATAAAATTTTTAGTCTCGTATTCTAAATTTCTGTCATTTATTCTATTCGTTCTATCAAAAACTAGAAACAAAAATCAAATTTACGCGTGTTCTTTCATTATTCGAAAAAATATATCGATTTGAAAACTTTCTGGAGACATTAAAACAAATTTTTTTTATTTCTTTCCGTCTACGTCGTTTTGCATTTTATAAATTTCTTGTCACTGAAATATTGGTATCCCTCTAATACTTGAAGGAAAAAAGTGATTCAAAGTTCCCGCCGACGTAAAAAAAAATTCATCTCATTGTAAAGACGGAAATGGAAATAAAATAGAATGAAACAATTATAAATGATAAATAACTCTTTGAACTTATTTTTCCCTGTTACACTCAATGACTCAATTGGAGTTTGTTGGAACTACCTTAAAGAGAATTATTCGGCTTTTTTAGGGCGAGGGGTTTTAAATGCTAAAGAGGAAGCTTTTAGTCAAGGCTGACGCACGGCGCGTGGGTATTTCGGGAGAGTGAATCATGAGAGATGTTTTTGATCACTCACGTTAATTGACAACAGTTTTGTGCACGAATTTTCATGTTTGGGGGAATTCCAAGTATTCTGGATGGAGATTTTTCATAATATTTCGCGAATTTATCTTGATTAATTCCGAAAACAATCAATAGAATAATTGACTATTTGGGAAATACTGTGAAATATTTTTCGTGAATATCTTGAGACCTAGCGGTTCCAGAGAAAAATGGCACAAAAACTTTTTGTACAGCATAAAATTCCTTACAAAGAAGTTCTTATGAGATTTTTTGATAAATCCAATAGTTTCAGAAATATTCGCAAAATAATCTGTCAATTTTTTTTCAACATTGAGAAAATTCCGAAAATTTCATTCACATAAGTTTGCAAATACCTCCGGAACTATGAGGTTTACAGAAAAATGTTATCAAACATTTTTGTAGAGAATTTCATGATCTACACAAACCATCTTGTGACATTTTTATCTAAACTCACTGATTTGTGAGATATTTCCAAAATACACTTGAAATTCCCCATTCAATCAATGAGTAAAACTAAATCATCACTAAATTACATTAAATTATCATCAAATTAAATTAAATTGACCTAAATTGTCATTAAATCATCGTCAACTCATGAATGAAATTTTCTAACTGAATGTTTATTCATTCAGAATAAAAATGGACGATCCAGTGGTCAACGGAGTCCAAAAGCCGAACGGAACTCAACTGTTTTACGAACTGGAGCACGAGAACGACGGTGACAGCTCGAATAACCCTGGACATACGACCGATCAACGTGACCGTAAGTTGAAAATATTCACTCCACGACTCAACCTCGTCTCCCTCTCATTGTTGTTCCCCGGGCGAAGAGGGAGATGAGGTGCCTGACCTCTCCCACTGATAAGAAAATTAATATTCTATCATGAATGAATGCAGAAACAACAGTCTATTGTCATTCCAGTCCGTATCGATCTCCAGACATCTTCGTGATACTCAGTTCTGCGTCTCCAGAACGTGAAAACGTGACACGCGATGTGTTTATAAATAAACACCTTTCGTCGAACGAATAAATAATTCTGTATTGAAGTGGTAAAACGTCGACGATATTCCAATTGTTCTTACGAATGTGAAATAACCTTATTAATGAGGGTTTCAGAACAAAATGGACTAGACATTTTTGTTCGAAATTTTCCTGGCTACAGAAAATATTATATGACATTTTTCGCTAGAGCCACTCGTTTTTTAGATATTTGCATAATTGATAAAGATGTTATTTTCATATTCTCGAATAAGGAGATTCATCATCGTTAATGATGAAAATTATCTCATTAATGAATGATTTTAGAGGAAAATGTCTGAGAAATTTTCTGTAGGTAATTTGATCATCTATAAAAAAGATCTTGAGACATTTTGCTCTAGAATTAGTCGTTTCTGTGATAATTGCAGAATAAAAAAAGGTAATTTTTGAATTATAGCATAATTTGATTTTGTTACTCCATCAATAATTCAAATTATCCTATCAACGGGTGATTTTAGCGGAAAATGTCCAGAATATTTTTTGTAGGAAATTTTCTCAACTAAAAGAAAGTTTTTGTGACATTTTGCTCTACAACTGCTCGTTTCTAAAATAATGACACAACAAAAAAATGAAAAAAAAAATTTTTTTCATCTCATTAATCTCGACTTTATCGCGTTAATTCATAATTTTAGGCCAACGCTTCACCGAATCCTAAGATTTTCACTTCAAAACAGCATTATCATCGCAAAAGTGCGAATAAAGAACCAAAAATTGGGGGAATTCACACGATTTATCAAAGACAATTTCGCTATGGAATGGAAGAGGAGGATTCTGATTTCTCAAGTTTCAATTCAAGCTACACAAGTTCTGGTAATTAATCACCCCACAAAATTAATAAATCACGACAAAGCAAAAAAAATCCACAAATTAATTATCATGAACAAATATGACTAAAAAACCATTCAATAATTCGCAACAAACAAGTCAATAGTTCGCCTCTGCACATAAAAAAAAATTGTTTTCCACTTCGTTAGAACATTTCAAATAATTGAGTAGTCAGACCCCCTGCCAAGAAGCCTAAGTAGAAAATTCCTGGGCGTTACACGAATAGAACTAAAAGGGAGTTCCACAGAGAAGTTAAACTCCTCTGCGTTGTTGAATCGATACATTATTACAATTTCCTCTTTACTATTTTATATTCACGTGGAACTTGTTTCGTTGCACTTGGACGATCAGTCTCTGGGTCTGTGCTCAATGTTACGTGCTGTGACGAAATGCAGCAATTTTAGCACCGGTACACTAAACAATTACTTGTGGACCGTTGCGAGTCACTCGAGATTATTCTCTCGCTGGGTTTGCCTCGAAATAGTGCCCCAGAACACCGGAAATAATCTCTCTTCGTCGATCAATCAAAGACAATTCGTGAAAGTTTCTGAAGTGATTGAGGTTTTTTGAGTAAACAGTTGATTAATTGATTAATTACAAAATCGTCAAGACGTGTAACAGGAGTAAAAATTGATGAGAATAATTAATTGAGGTCTGACTGATTGAATTGGGATTGATTGAATGAAAATGTCGAGCAGAGGCATGATTAGCAACGATGCCTTCCTCGGAATGCATCATCAGACGAATTTCTTGGTATCAGACTATGACGAAGGTAGGACTAGTCGCATTTAGTTATTTTGTGTCTCTCAGGTAATTATCCGAGATGCCAGATGTTATCGGGGTTTAAACGTGTGACTGTTGATATACTTGTTATCTCGGTGCATAGAAATCGCGAGAATTGGGGAGTCTGTGACGAAATTCAGGAACTTTAGCACCGGTACGCTAAACAATTACTTGTGGACCGTTGCGAGTCACTCGAGATTATTCTCCCGCTGGTTTTGCCTCGAAATAGTGCCCCAGAACACCGGAAATAATCTCGCTTCGTCGATCAATCAAAGACAATTCGTGAAAGTTTGTCAAGTGATTGAGGTTTTTTGAGTAAACAGTTGATTAATTAATTAATTACAAAATCGTCATGACGTGTAGCAGGAGTAAAAATTGATGAGAATAATTAATTGAGGTCTGATTGATTGAAAATGTCGAGCAGAGGCATGATTAGCAACGATGCCTTCCTCTGAATGCATCATCAAACGAATTTCTTGGTATCAGACTATGACGAAGGTAGGACTAGTCGCATTTAGTTATTTTGTGTCTCTCAGGTAATTATCCGAGATGCCAGATGTTATCGGGGTTTAAACGTGTGACTGTTGATATACTTGTTATCTCGGTGCATAGAAATCGCGAGAATTGGGGAGTCTGTGACGAAATTCAGGAACTTTAGCACCGGTACGCTAAACAATTACTTGTGGACCGTTGCGAGTCACTCGAGATTATTCTCCCGCTGGTTTTGCCTCGAAATAGTGCCCCAGAACACCGGAAATAATCTCTCTTCGTCGATCAATCAAAGACAATTCGTGAAAGTTTGTGAAGTGATTGAGGTTTTTTGAGTAAACAGTTGATTAATTGATTAATTACAAAATCGTCAAGACGTGTAACAGGAGTAAAAATTGATGAGAATAATTAATTGAGGTCTGACTGATTGAATTGGGATTGATTGAATGAAAATGTCGAGCAGAGGCATGATTAGCAACGATGCCTTCCTCGGAATGCATCATCAGACGAATTTCTTGGTATCAGACTATGACGAAGGTAGGACTAGTCGCATTTAGTTATTTTGTGTCTCTCAGGTAATTATCCGAGATGCCAGATGTTATCGGGGTTTAAACGTGTGACTGTTGATATACTTGTTATCTCGGTGCATAGAAATCGCGAGAATTGGGGAGTCTGTGACGAAATTCAGGAACTTTAGCACCGGTACGCTAAACAATTACTTGTGGACCGTTGCGAGTCACTCGAGATTATTCTCCCGCTGGTTTTGCCTCGAAATAGTGCCCCAGAACACCGGAAATAATCTCTCTTCGTCGATCAATCAAAGACAATTCGTGAAAGTTTGTCAAGTGATTGAGGTTTTTTGAGTAAACAGTTGATTAATTGATTAATTACAAAATCGTCA